CTTCTCCTATTCTTCATCCCAATGGGCGGCCAAAAGACAGCAACCAAAACCGGCGCACGAAAGTGCGTGGTTAATGGTTGTTCAAACTGAAACTGAAACTGAATTCCGGGCAACGACTTCACACTTTTCAGACACCTTAGTATATACAGTCTCCTGTCTATTGGAACTAAGTATATTGGCGCGGCTTCGTTCGCATTACAAATCACGGCTAACAGATTAGTCCTCGTTTATCTACTGCAATAGTGATGCTTTTTTCTGTCTGGCTGTAAGAGTTAACTTTTGTCACTTTCTGTTTAATTCGATTTTCCCCGGCCCCATTTGAAGGATGCATCAGCGGATTCTGAAGATCGTCAGGCAGATGTGAAACGACGTGCAAACGGACCGGAAGAAGATGAAACGATGCAGATTCAAGATGAAGAACACGAGGAAGCCGAACCTCATGGTGAGGAGGCCGAGGAGAATGAAGAAGAGGAGGATGTAGAAACGGGACAATTAACTCCGGTGCATAGTCGTCGTCTGACCGAAGGCGAAATTGATGTGGATGATGCGGAAAGTGTGAGCGCAGAGGAGGAGCCCGTCGAGGAGGAGGCCGACGATTTGCTCAGCCCGGCCGAGAAGGCTGCACGTATATGTCGTCTACCGGCAAAAGATGTGCACAGTGATGAGTTACTCTTGTTGCCATTTCTAGATACGTGCTCGCGCCCTGTACGTGAGGCCTACTTATGTGTACGCAACTTCGCGGTACGTTAATCGCACTTTAGCTGTGTAATTGAAAATTCTTTTTAATCGTGCGATTTGTCACGCATTAAATTTATCATTTCGATTCCTTTCAAATGACCACTGGCTCGTGTGAACACTACGAATATTTCACAGGTGACCATTGTGTCTTTGTTTAGGTGGTGGTCAGGTGGTTAGTTCAGTCACCATTAATGGGTCACATGGGTCGGTTCTGTGGATAGGTGGCTCTCTTGTCACACCGGCACAATTGTCGTCCTGTCACGTGGTGGCTTTGGGATGCTATTTTCATTTCCGTCTTTTTCCACTAAACTTTAAGGTATATGCATCTCACTTCGTAGGGGTATAGTGCTACCTGAATATAAAATATTCTGTCCTACTGCAATGGGGTACTACTTCCATTATATGGGCGGTGGTGGTCCGGTGGTAACGTCGCCAAATTATCGTCCCAGGAGATGTGTTCGAGTCCCACCACCATCACCTAACTCCCCATTGTGCGTTGTGTGACAGCCCTTTGATTGGCCGCTTCCTTCTTACTGAAAATTGTATCCATTTGTATTCAACCAAAGGAAGTAAAATTTGAAAATGAAAAGAGAAAAGAATATTGATGCAGTCGGCTATTCTTGGAAGATTCCGCAATGAACAAGACATCCCGGTGTGGATTAGTTTATTCCGCATGGTAGCATCAGAAGATGTGAACAGATCGTTGAACTGGTTAACCGCTGATTCAGAGTTTTTTAATGAAATGGTGAACTGGCCGTTCCAGATTACGTATTTCGTTCTATGCAACCCGATTGAACCGTGTCGTTTTTGCAATAAGAAAATCACCAGTGAGCCGCTGGCTGGTCTTGCGGGTTTACACCACGATTGGACCATGACATGCACTAGCAACGTGTGTAAGAATTTGACCGGTAGACTTAGCCAGTGTATTGCGTGTGGTTTACAAACAAAGTGGGTGTTGAATGGATGGGAGTGGGGCTGAGGTAGGTGAGGGTAAATACGGAGCCAAGGTAAGCCATTACCTGTTTGGAGAAGGTATTCTACGAGCTCTTTCCCGCTCTTTGTTTGTGCTCCTATCAATATCACCTGTCCCTTTGCTCTTTTTCCACTTTCTGGGCCTTCCATACAGTAGATATCGAAGAAAAGCAGTTTTTAACGCCTATCCGATGTCAGCGAATAATTTTTTCCGATGACCAAGACGTTGCAATTTAAGACGAAAATAAGCATTTAAAACTGCAGTGCAAATTACGTCGTTGCGTATCATAGTAAATGTTGCTTTTGGAGCCATTCAAGTTATCACTTGCGTACCTCGGTTCATAGTCCCCTAAACTCAAACTCTGCCACCGACACCATCCTACTTGGATGCCAGATGGTTTCAATCTAACTGTCTAATTTATTTGTGGCGGTATCGGGACCTAGGTTACCGTTTTCTGTGACAAAATTATAGGTCCAAGGTACTATGGGTTTGTCTGTTATTCACCACATTCAGACAGGAAATGCTGGGGTCTCACTGATCAACTTGGCACTGGCGCCGATACTTCACTGCAGTCAATCAGCCTTGGCTACTCGAAAAAACTTACGTATCCTTAACAGAGTTCGGGGTGTGATAATTAACGATATATCATTTCGGTTTTCGAATCTTTGACAATCAGTGCCGTTTGAATAATTTTTCTGCCCCCAATTCTAATTCAGTTCTCCAGTCCGATAGCCACGCAACACAGTTGTCACACAAGTGCGAGCTGATATTAGTTTTTTAAAGGACCAAATGTGACCTGTACACCATGCTTTGGCTCACAACATAAATTTATTTTTCACCACGTCACGATCCTCAGATAGTTTTGTCTGTTTAGTTTATGTTAACTCACATTGCTTGACCGTATTCTTCTTTGCCCGTTATTCAGTGCATGTTATGGTCCGAAGATCCATGTGTTCAAGTCACACCTGCACGCTTGGTTAATTATCTCACCAGCAATATGTCAGCTGAGAATTTGCGGTTGATGCTTGACGCCGGATTAACTGCTCCGCTTCCGTCCGGTACTAGTGCATCCACGAGTACGAATGTGTCCACATCACGCGGTTCCACTTCATCCGCTTCGTCTGTTTGTGAGGAACCTTCTTCTTCAGGGCCCGCTGGCAACAATGTTGTCAACAGTCAAAACAGTCGACAAACCGGGACCAATAACATCAACGATGTCAGTAGCAACAACGTTGGTAAACAAACCAAAGAATCCGGTCGCTCATCTCATTCCCGACATTCGAACGTACTGTCACTGCCGTCCAACTGGTCCCCATGGAGTACACCCCAAGCAAAAAACAATCGGGATAAGCTATGCTATTACGCGATCCTATTTCTCGAACGGTATGCCGGTTTACGTCTTTATTCGATCTGCCTTTTTTGTGTCCTATGCGCTAATATAGATCATAATCTGATCCTACCCCCTTTGTGCATCTACCCCCTACCGCCGTAACGAGGCCCCCAGAAAATACAGTTTCAATTTGTAGAACCATTAACCATGCCCTTTCGTGCGTCGGTCTTGGTTGCTGCATTTTACTTGCCCATTGGGATGGTGGAGTAGGACAAAGACAAAAAAGTTGAAAGTAGAGTTGAAGGGAAAATGGAGAATTTCAGTGGACTTAGAATGCAAGGAAATTGAGAATAAACACGGACGCCACTGTTAACGACATTCGGCCATACCACTCAGTGTCTCTAACTTTTGATTACAGTGATCTCGAGGTCCCAATCCAGAAAGCCTAACGGTGCCTATTTGATTGAGTCTTCTGGTTAGTGTTTTCATATCCTCTTGACAGGTCTTATTTTGACCACGATGGACTTTATACACCCACTACCCGCCTCGGCAAACTACGCTCACCAGGGCAACCTATTTGGCGACATGCGTAACACATGCCCCAACCAACGTAACCTATGGCGGTGAACCACTTATTCCCGTGGTCGATCTCAGTCACGTAAAACTCTGGGTCTAACCTCAGCATTGCTCATCCGGTTTCCCCACCAGATTCGTACAATGCTGCGTATACAGCAGTATTCAAACACCCAGAATCTACCATTATCCTGTTTCCCTAATGGCCAAGTTTCTGCGATATATAGTTGAACTGGCCTAACTGTTGCATCAAAAACTCGACCCTTCACAGACGGCCGAATACCGCCTCGGCGCGACAGATGTCTTAAGTTGGTAAATGTAACTCGAGCTTTGTGTATGCTTGCTGACACCTCATACGTGACACGTACACCGCGTGGTCTATTGAAACTGGTTTTCTTGGTAGTCTTGTTCTTGAAGGTATGATGGAGTCACCATCTGATGGGGACAGCTCGTCGGGGCCGGAAGCCTTATACCTTTTGAGGTAGTTTATTCCTCGGGTAACCTCTATTTTAGATAGAGGACTGATGTCAACCGACAGTATTTGCACAGTTGAATCGGGTGTGGGGAGGTCTTATGCTGGCGAAGGCCAGCTCAAATGAGCCTTAAAATGTTCTGCCCATCGATCTAGATGGCGTTGTTGAATATGGATCAGTGTGCCGTCGGACTCCTCAATTACCTCACTTACGCCTGCTTTTCTTGAACATGCACTCCTAATTCATCGGAAAAGATTGCGACTATTACCGATAGCCGCAGCCTTCTCCATTTCTCTACACTTTCCTACCCACCAGTTCTCGCGGTCATTCCTCAGACTTGTTCAGCTGGCGTTTAAGGGATTTGCGTGCTTTGTCGTAGTTTGAATCCGAAAGAATGGCTTTGCGAGCGTCCAGCAGGACAACCGAAGTTGGGGAGATCCATCGTTTTTTATTCGATCGTGAGTCAGAATTTGCTGTGGTTTTGATTGACATTTTGATCGCTTCCTTGATNNTCCTTGATTGCCGTCCAGTGCTCACTGAGTCCTCCGGCTGATGGTTGTGCCTCGAAGGCCGATTTGCCGACATTGCTGACATTGTATCTTGGGCTTCCGTTTTCGGCGGCTTTTCTGCGTTTGTTTACTAGGCTTGGAGCAGTTTCCTATTTCAGCAGACGACAAGACGTTCATCCGAGTTTCCCTCCAGGCACGAGCAATACTCGGGGTCGAATAGCGGAAGCCAATTGACATCCATAGGACGGAGATATAAGATTCCACAACCGTAAAGCAAAATACTAATAACCACGGCTGAGTTGGGAGTGGCTTCTTTTTTGGTCACACCTCTCTTCAGGTAAATCTGTTCAGGACCGTTCAGTCCAGGAACATACAATCTAACCCTAGGGCCTCTTTCCTCCAGGGTTCACTGCGCAAGTGGGTGTTCTTGAGGATAGTCTTCCTTTTCGCTTTCTGTAGTCTCTTGTAGTTATGTTCGTTATGTTTTTTTTCGGAAAAAGTAATACGGAGCTTCGTTAGCATGCAAAACCGACTGAATTGTACGAATAGTTCGCTGTTGGGTACAAGCGTAAATAAGCTACAGGTTCTTTTTCGGGACTTAATACCTTCCTCTGATCCCCAGTGGCTATTGTGAATGTAGTGGGCTTATACAATTAAAGCAGTATTACGCATAAAAAGCCAATAAACCATCAACTTTTGAGTAGGTTCCTGAGAAAAGAGATGAACTAATGAATTCTTTGATTCCTACCGTGTTCATTTCTTGGGATGGATTGGATGGTATGAGGTTCGCTTTTTGCCTTCCGTCCATGTTTCTTGGATCAATTATCTTAGAACCACATCCCCGAGTATGGAATGTCACCATTTTTGGATCCCCCCTGGCGATTGAAACACATGAAATCCATACAGTTCACATTTCTCCACCCATTTTACTCTGCTTCCAGATATGGTCACATCAATTTCGGTTTGTTTCGTGTGTCATCTCCTCCACTTACACATATCTCGTCTCGAACATCCAGTCATGGACTAGACACCGCATCTGATTCACCTTCGGAACCGCCGTTAACTCCAAGGCGAGCGGCTGCCGAGCGAGCGCTCGCTGCAACCCGACGCAGTACCGGGACTGGATCCTCGTTGTCGACCACCACCGCCACCTCAACAACAACAATAACAACAACAACAACAACAACAACAACAACAACAACCGGTACCACCTGTTCAAACCAACCGTTACATATTATTGTGCTAGGTGCTGGCATGGCCGGTCTAATGGTTGCCAGGCAGCTAACTTACTTCGGCGTCAAAGTGACGCTACTGGAATCACGAGTACGTTACATTTATTAATGCACGAGGCTATTCCAGTTTCACCTGTTAGATCAACCGTAATTTATTCATCGTTATGACGAGTTTCAGTCTTTTTGAACAATATGGAATCTTGGGTTCGAGAGCTCAGGTTTCGATCCTGCAACAGATTGATTCTTTGAGAGGAATCGGCTAGGGTGGGTGTTTTCGACGACAAGAAGTTTCAGGAGGACTCCAAACGTCCTCGATTTTCGACTTCATTGGACTAGCTATTCAAGTGAATTCGGAGTTTGGGGGCATTTCAAGATCATTCCCTCTGTCCCAATAATCCAGATAGCCTCGTAAATCGATCCGTTAATCATGTATTTCATCATGATTATCGGAGTCAAAGTGTTTGTTTTATCCCCTTTTCATTTTTATGTTTCTGTAATTGTTCACATTGATAACAATCCTTAGTTTACATCTGAGCAATTGGGACAGCCATAAGGGATAGAACAGATTTAGCCGTACACTGCACCTATTCAAGCTGAAAGATTGGCGGTTACCTTGCACAANCTGAAAGATTGGCGGTTACCTTTCACAACGCTCGATTTAAAAATTAAATAGGGTTGTACGCGGGAAAATAAAGGGAGGCAATCACAGACATTCTGGAAAGATTTGTGTTGGGTGCTGTGTCAGGGCAAAAAAAACAACCCAAAGAAGCTTAGAATCTTTCAAGATAATATCATATATCAGTGGCATCTCTGGGGATTTTCCGGGTCTTATTTGATAGGGAAGTTTTGGCCAAGATACAACCGAAAATGGAAAGTTCACATAAAATTGACAGCCACTTTCCCATCTGAGGATCGAATGTTTCCGGAAAACACTAGTAAAGAGGTCCAGCATTGATCTTTATATCATTCTACCAAGCCATTCAGTGGTTCTTTTTTCAAATTATTCTAACCAATGGACACCGTTTCTTTTGATTCTTCCTAAAACTTATTGATACTTCCTGTTCCAACTCCTAAATGCCACTCTCTCAGTTCTCGGTCATCGACACCATGCTCAGTCGTATTGGCCGCTTCTCGAGAATGATAGCAGATCGGATGAAATTGATCCGGGTTTAGGTCCATTGGATTATTTGATGGTCAAATGAGATGCTTAATCTAAACATAAAGTTCATCTATACCACTAAATTGGAGAAATATTTCATCACCCGATGTTTTCGTATAGGGATAACGAACTGACCGGTAGTGCAAACCACTAGCAATTTCTGTGGTTGAACGGTGATATATATATATATATATATATATATATAT